TAGTTGAGAGAAACAAGCTGAAAGTAATCTGCTGTGAATCACCATGTATTGACAGATTCCACAGGCCTGGTGGCAAGGAAGAATAATGGAACAAATATAATCTGTTTTAGGAAGGCAGATGGTAATAAACTCAGAATAGATAAGCAATGCTCCAAGACCCTTCTGAAGGGGAAAAAATGAATGAAGGATTCTGGTGGTATCTTAAGGAGATGATATTAAGGGCATAAGTGCAAACTGTCCCATTGTAGAGGGAAGATACAGAAAAGAGCAATAAATGATGAGCTTAGGTGAATAATTAGCTTTTCATACACTTTTAGCGTAAGAATAGAGATTAAGGAAGTGGAAACTACGTAATGTTATTGGAGACGATATAGGATAAGTATGTAAGATAGTCAGAAAAGTGAGGACATAAAATAAGAAACAGGATATGAAATGAAAAAGGATGATACGATAGGAACATAGAAAAAAAAATCTGCAAGTACATCAATAGTATAGAGTCATCTCCAAAGAGACTGTCCTGCAGCTTCACAGCATGAGGGTGTCCATAAATCATGCAATTAATGTAGCTCTTTGTGCCTCTCTGCATTAATCCTCAGCAGTGTGGTCAACTGTGATCCGCTGGCTAACGCAATTGATTCCAGTAAAATTGTAGAATTATAGAATTGTAGAATTGTAGAATCATAGAATGGCCTGGATTGAAAAGGACCACAATGACCATCTAGTTTCAGCCCCCTGCTATGCGCAGAATTGCCAACCACCAGACCAGGCTGCCCAGAGCCACATCCAGCCTGGCCTTGAATGCTTCCAGGGATGGGGCATCCACAACCTCAGAGCTTCAGTAAACTATGTGTCAAGTCTTGATGCCTTACCTGTTAGAGGGTTTACTTGAAGAACAAACCAGTGTTTGCTGATGAGAAGACTGGTGGTATTTTTGGGGCAGATTGGTGAGAGCCAGCACGGGATCTGTCTGGTCAGAGACAGAGGAAAGAACCAAGAATTTTACAAAGGCAAAGTCATTAAAATTCTGATTAAATCTGATGAGTGCATATGTAAGAAATCACTTCGATGCGGTGGAAGGAAAGAGGAAGTGGTTGCACACTGATGCAGCCTGCCATTGCACAGTGTGACATTTGAGTGCACTGTTGCTATGCGTGACACCTCAAAATGAGAGTTTGTCTGGAAAACTGCACTTGCAAGTCAAGGAGCTAGATGTGAAAGAAAGTTTTATTTCTGTCAGTACAGACTAATGGCTGGGAGTGAATTTGGTGCCTTATGGAACAGGAAAAAACACTTCTGCCTCAAGAAATACGCATGCTAAATGCATGTTAATTTGATTATGTTAATATTCTGGCTGACACGTTTGATCCGAGGAGCTACAAACTTCTATTTAGTATGGCGGCTGTTGGTAATTTGCAGCTGATGGAGGAAGGTGGAAGATTGTTTCAGAAGACTGTTTCAAAGCATTGTTTAAAGGATATATTGAGATAATTAATTCCCAGTGGTCTTAGCTTAAATGCTTTTGTTTGCCAAGCAGACAGAAAGGGTTGTTTAATGGCAAGCTTCGAGTGCTGCCCATCCTGGCCTTGGGGTGGGCGTACTTTATGATTTCCTTCCTGTGCTAGCAGGAAACATAACATCTCTGTGGGCTGCTGCCCTCTCCCCATGTGTCGCTACCAGATTTACAGAGATGCGACTGCCTGCAATTCGGTAAACATTTCCTTTGATGATGCCCCAGAAAGAGAATCTAGTTCACTCCCTCCAGGCTATGCAGAGCCAACTGGGATGGAAAAGAGTAAGCAAATAAGTGGAAAACAGCCAGCAGAGGCGAAGGAGCGGATGGCATCCCCAGACCACTGGGGAAGCAGAGCTCAAGGCATAGAGAGGTTTTCCTGTAGCTGCCAGAGCAGAGAGCAGCCAGCAGAGCTTGTTAAACACACATTTTCTGATGAATAAATATTGTGCCTGTTGTGCACGGAGGTTATTTTTCCAAGGGGATCCTGCCTTCTCAAATACAGTCAGGCAAACAGGAGCAGAGATTACCATTACAACCCTGCTGCTTGGGCTGGACGTACCCGGGATACGTGGCATTTGCTTATTTATCTAAGCTAATGTGAAGGGACATGATTTCAGTGTCTGTAGGACTGCATTTTCCTCTGTGCTGTGCACTCAGGCATTCAGCCCTTCCGTTACAGTCTGAGTCATTTTAGGATACTTCTATTACTAGCGATACCTGAGCAGAGTAAGTAGAGCACATCCTTTTAGTGCAATTGTTTTTGCACTTAACCTAGTGGTTTATTTATTTCTGTACTCAGGCTGGTGGAGCTTATTAAATAATAATGCTGGGATATGGTCCCGAAACAGCTGGCATAGCATATTCTTAAAGATCTGACAGCATTGCCACGCTGCCATAAACTTCAACACTGCAATGGATTTACAAAACATATGTGTGCTTTTGTACGGGTTGTATTCCCACTTTGGTTGGTTTCAGTTTCTTCTCGGTTTTATTTATGGTCTTCCTCAGCACGGTAAACCCGACTCATTCGATAGCTGCTCAAAGAAATGGAAATAACCCTGCATCTCTGTGGCCTCCTTGAGCAGCCAGCAAGGCTGGGAGGGCAGAGCATGGCAGCGGGGTGCCAAGGCTGCTGCTATTTTCTTCCCTGCACATCAGCAGCTGCTGTCGAAAGGGACCGTGAGTGTCACACTGCGATGCCTCGCTGCCACACTGATTCCCAGGGTGTTGGCATTTCCTTGGTAACTCAGCAAGAGGCTGCTCCTTGCAAAAGATCACCGTTTTTTTTTTTTCATCAGTACAATTTTCAACTACGGCAGCAAAGCCGGTGCCCAAAATGTGCTGTTGCAGGCCCTTGTGGCTGTCTACATTCTATGCCCTGTGGGGCTCTGCTGCCCTTCCACATGCCCCACACCACTGCCAGCAGCCCCAAGAGAGGCTTTCATAATCTTTGCGATATTAATCTCCCCAACTAAGGGGCTGAGTGAAGGAGAGATGGTGCTATCTCCAACATCCTTTCCATCCAGAAGTGCTCTTTCTGCATGACGTGAAGCTGAGGACCACCTGTGGATTATCAGCATCAGCAGCGATGCCCACAGAGCTCAGTGCGGTGGGGTTTCTCAGTGGAACTGCAGTGAGACCAACCTCAATCTGTACGCACGTCTCAAGCGTAGAAATCTATCATCACTCTCTTTGCCTACGCTGGGAATTGTGCTGGGGCTTAAGACACACCAAATCCATTTCAGCAGGATTTGTTTCTGATTCCCTGAGCTCTTCACGGAAGCCAGAAATAAGCCCTTCATCTAACTCGGCAGCTTCCTCACTGTTAGCATGATTTCCCAAAAGATCTCGTCCTGGATCAAGCCCATGATAGACAGCAGCGTTGTAATACTCCACACTGTTGTACAGACTTCGCACTGCTTGCTGCTAAGATGAAATGATTCACTGCATCTTTGGGCCATCTCACTCTTCCGTAGCATGTATGATGAAGTTATTATGGAAAGCTTTAAAATAGTAGCCTGCCTGCGTAAAATATTTGCAAATAAGAGCAGCTTGAGAACAAAATCAGCCTTGTGCTGAAGTTTCCACCCTGGATTTAAAGCAATGCAACCTACCGTGGAGCTGACTAATGCACTCCTCCAAACTTCCTGCTCCATTCCCTTGACTTTTTCAGAGCTCTTCCCACTGCAGACTTGTAGATGTTGGGTGCTTTGCCGTAAAGTGTGCAGAACAGTGCTCCAGGGGTGGTACTCAGGGATGGGCAAGGATAACAGTGCTTAGCTCTAGCTGGGGTATTGCTAATGAAGCACTGAGCTTGAGCTGAGCGCACCTGGGAACTGATGCACTGAGTGAAACATACCTATTTCCACACTGTCAGAAAGGGCTTTTCCATGCCAATACTAGCAGCTGAATGCAGAGCTCAGGTGTGATCCAGGCCGGGGGCTGGATCTGCCCCATGCCAGCAGGGTCACATCACAGAGGGAAGGCTCTGGGTCTGACAGAAGGACCTTCAGCAAACCTTCAAAATCTTTAGCTAAGAGGTTCCCTGCTTTCCATCAGAGATTAGCAGTCCTCCCACCCACAGCAGGGTTAACAGATCCATCGCGCTCGTTGACATTTTCCAGTTTCCACAAGTTGCTCCCCAGGGGCCAAACACTGCCAGTAGTTATATCTCCTCCCTGCAGTGACTTGTCACCTAAAGGGCAGCTGGAGCAACAGGCAGGCAGGGGATTTACCACTTGCAATTACCATTCGTCCCTCCAGTTTCTGTTCTGGAACCTGTCTGGATCAATCTGGGTCTCTGCCTTTCTGTCCAGGTTTCCCCCTACCTCATGCTGAGCACGTTTTCAGCCACAGGTAGAAACTAGCAAGTAAAAAAAAAAAAAAAAAAATGGTATTCCTACTCAGTACATCATATATTTATACTGCATGCATGCATTTTGATTGTGCCAGTTATCTTTTTTGATGGCACAAAACACTTGTCCTTTGTTCTGCTTTATCATATTATAGCAGAGCATGAAATACTGCATGCAAGGCAGAGTTTTCCTAACACCACTTCTTGGCAATGACCTGTTATGAAGATGCTGATCTCAGTTCTGTTTCATACCTATGCTGTAAGTTTCACCAGGTTCTCTCATGATTTATGTCAACAAGAGGCAATTGCTCTTCTCAGTGTGGAAGGAGGTTTTTTTCTAATGCACGTTATAAGCAGGAGCAGGTTTATGGCAGTTTGTATACAAGATTGGTGTTGGCTGGGTTTCTTGATACAGACATTCATTCAGCTTAACTTATCAGATGTGCTAAATGGCCTTTTAAAAGTGTCCTTTGATGTAAGGTAGAATATCAGCGACACACCATAGGACAGCAGCAGTGCATGCTCTTTTTCTTTGTTATTTTCATATAAGCTGGAAAAAAAACCAACCCCAAGCAGTTAAAACTTTTATTCTAATTGTCCATCGGATCACCCACAATAACACTTCTAAAAGAAGAGCTGTCAGTCCTTCCAAACCACTTCAAGTATTAGAAGAAATTAGGCACTGAAATTGCACTCATCAGCCTAAAATTTTTGCATACATCACTGAAATGACCTAGTTTTTAGTCCTAAATTCCTCTGCAGTTTGCTCCTAGGGATGATGAATACCTGGAGAGTATATGCAAAATGCCAGACCCTAAGGGTTGTTAAGATGAGTTGTGCTGAATCTAAAAGCTTTCACATAACAATCTTTCAGAGTATAGAAGCCTCGATAAGCAAAATAAAGAAAAAATAAAATAAAATGACACCAAGCAGTGCCCCAGGGTGTCTGCTTTTAAATAAGAGGCTTCCCCCTGCACGCAAACCCAAGCAAAACAGAGTTCTTTATAGGAGCTCATTGAAAAAAAAGGAAAAAACTGAGAAGAATGGAAAATTGTCAGTGACAGAAATGGAGACAAAAAGCCACGCAAGGACTGTGAAATCCCATCATTCTGAAGAGCCCCACAAAACCAGCATTGCTTGCAGCTGATCACACCACTGCTGGGTCTTGCTGTTGCTTCATCAGCATCAAACCAGTTAGACGCCATTAGTACAGCTAATTTGTGACTGCTTCACGGAGAGCTCTGTGGTAAATTACAGTATTGCTGGGATTTGCTGGTTCTGATTTACAAGTTAAAAGCTCAGTCATGAAGAGGAATGTGTGTGAGAGTGAGGAATGAATCAAAGTGCTATTGGAAACCCAAGCGAAGGAGCAGAGGAGTTATGAGTGGACTGAAAGGCTCTCGATGGAAGAAGAAAACAGAGTTGGTGGTGAGTTGTCCTGAATTCAGGAAGCCCATCAGGCTTGGCAGTGCTTTCCCTGGGCTTGAAGGGCAGCTGGACCAGACTCATCATCTTAATAAATACACAGTGCTGTAGTGCACGTCATACTACAAAGAGAGTTGAAAGCCTGTTTTTTCCTTCCATCCACTGCAGTGCTTTAGCAAAAAAGGACAGTGATACTTCAGGAAGAACTGCATGCTTCAAGAGATCTTTACTGCATGGTGCAGGTTATGTACAATGCGATGCTGTATCCACAGAGGAGAAAAACGTTCACAAGTAATATCTTCAATATCTCTAAAAGCCTGAAGTATTCAGAGCTCATCAGCTCCATGCTGATGAAGCCTTCAATAGAAGCTGGTGGGTAACACTGACAATTAATTACTTCTACCCACTTTTATTTCTCTCAATTCAGGCAGTTAAATGCAGACACAAAGTTGGATAATTATACTCCAAGCAGGAGGTGTACCGTAAGCAAATGAGATACAGTGTCTAAATTGATTAGTAAATCTGCATACAGCTTTATTTAAGAGCAAGATATTTTCTTCATTACTGTGCAATTATTCATTAAAAGCCATCTGTTAAAAGCCAAGTTAATAAAGTGTGGCAAGGTGTAGGATAACAACCAATGTCAGCTCATTGCAAAGTCATTTTCTTGATAGGGTTTGGTGGAAATCCATGTACTTTATTAGAAGAAGTGAAACTTGTCCCACAGAGTTGAGGGGGAGAGAGAGGATGATGTTTGCAGAGTTCTGTTATGAAAACAAAAACATTTCCATTTCCCATTTTCAAGTTGGTTTTTGAGAATTAAACTGAACATTGCAGCTGAACTCTCCCAGAGCACTGTGATATTTAAGGTCTTTGCAAAATTTCAGTGAGTTTATGGAAAAACAAAAAACTGCTTCTTTTCCACGTGGAAAATTCCCAGTCTTTAATTGCCAGTGGTTTCTTATTGTATTTCTAAAAGCCAGCTTAATTGCTTTCAATACATTTGATTGTGCTTTTCCATATGGTAGAGCAGCGCAGTGAGGTTTGACAGACCTCAGGGATCTGTCATTAGAAATCCTCTCATTAACCAAAGATGCTGGAAAACGCAGCTGCACAATGCTCATAAATAGAATCACAGAATTGCTAGGGTTGGACAAGTCTTTAAAGATCATCAAGTCCAACCACAACCTAACCATACCACCCTAACTCTAACAGCTAAATCACATCCCTGAGCACCACATCCAAACGGTTTTTAAACACATCCAGGGATGGTGACTCAACCACCTCCCAGGGCAGCCCATTCCAGTGCTTAACAGCCCTTCCTGTAAAGTTTTACCTGATACATGCTCTTTAAACAGCAGAAGGATCCCAGCTTCTTCTCAAGGCCCCAATATGTGTCACTGCCATTAGGAAGGCCAGGAGTTTTGGGACGTAAGTAATTCAGCAGAATTTTTATTTTTTTTAAACTTTCCTGTCAACAGAGCAGGAAGGGTTGCTAGACAAACTTTTTTTTTTCCCCATAAATCTGATCTCCTTCCCCACTGCCAATTAGATTTTGCATAAGCTTTTTGTTCCCAGCTCTTTTTCCACCCCGTGGAAAAGCATGATGTTTTCTTTACTAAGTTGAAAAGTCAGCGAGCTGAGTGATTTGCAGAATGGAAAGCTTAAAAGAGCCTGGATATGGCAGAACATTAGGCTATGACTTTTTAAAAAAAAACAAAAAAAAAACAAAACCAGAGAAGCAAAAGGTTTGGGCATGCCCAAATCCATGTGTCCAAATCCATGGGCTTATTACGGTTCACAGGCACCAAGCTGATTCACTGTGCTTTCTCCTCTTCAGGCCGAGGAGATAAACCCTATTAAAGCACAGAGCAACATTGACTTGTGTCTTCCATACAGGTCATGGTTGCCACAATGAAGGGCTGCACTCATGAGAAGGAGGTGAATTGCTCTGCCTCGTGGATAAGAAAACTACAGATTTTACACCTGTCTGTCCTCTGTGCCTTTACTACACTGGAGTTGATAGTAGGGGCTTCTGACCCATTCTGAACCCTTTGCCACACCTTTCTAACCCTATTTTATTCTGCAGAATTGGAAAACGTTCCTTGCATGCCTATATTGCACAAACCTTTTTGGTGTGTACCAGCCTCTATCCAGATTCTCTTTGAAATACCACTTGTATTAAATTCTAACGACAGTCTGTGCCTGCAGTTTAAATATTACATGATTATCTCAGCCAGAGTATCTTGAGGCTGATAAATTTCAGATAAGTAGCTGAATAAAATACGTATTTATAATTAAACTAACTTAAAAGCTCCAGAGCTTGGAACATGTTTACATAGAACCATCTTTGTACTGCACTTAAATCCATGACTAGAACAAGAAGGGTCACACAAATACACAGCTCCTTCTGTTTAAGAAATAACTGCAGATTGTCCATAAACATGAACAGAAACCTAGTTTGTAACAATTAGAGCACTACAGAAGTGCATGACAATATAATTTCAGCTGTTGAAGATGCACGAGAACACAACTGCTTCCATTCTAACTCTGTAAAGCCACATTTATCAGAAGATAGAAATAATGGGCTTTTCTTTTGGCAGCAAGCAGTCAAACTTTTAGAAAGGGTCTCATCCTTACCTTCTAATTCAGGTTGGTCTTTCTTTCATGTCCCTGAATACCCTTACTTCAGACATAGGGCACATAGGGTAGTGTGGGCCACAAGCAGCCAGCAATCATGTCCCTCAAAAAGAGCAGAAATCAGAGCTCACCCCCAGCTGAACAGTCGCATTGTGACAATTGGTCATTGGGATTGCAAAATTAGCCATGAGGAAACCATTGCATCCTACTCTGTGTGCTCACTGAGCAGTCAGGTTAGTCTTCATTTAGCGTGGCCTCACGTGGCTGAAAACAGGCAGGAAGGAGGAAGCATCCTTGAAGGGGATGGAGTGTTTCGGTTACTCTATGCACAAGGTAGAGTGCAATAATTATTTTGAGCAGGTACAGCGTGCTCTGCTGATAGCAAGGAGCAGAGAGATGCAAGCTGAGACACGTAGTTGTCATTTTCCCCTTAAAAACAAATAAAAAAAAAATCAGGGAAATCTTCACAGACACTTGTTGACAATTTTCAATTATGAGCAAGTGAAAAAAACTGATTGAAGAGAACCCTTCAGGCTCGCCGACACTTTGCTGGGAAAGATGTATTGGAAGCTGGAACAAGCTTTCAGTCTGGCACTTTGGACTGGTTGTCACTTGTCTTTCTTCTCAGTTCTGAACAGATGCAGACACAATTGTGGTGCCAAAGTCCAGTGCAGATAAATGTCTCCACAGCTCTGGGAAGTGAGAGATCCTCTTAATATTTCAGGATTTGACAGCTTAGTGGAGACGCCACCCATCACCTGTAAACATCTCTTACATGGCTTCCAAACTCCTTTCCCTGGAGTTGGTGTGTTCCCAGTCAGACACACCTCAGACCACTCCATATAACAAACCATGTTTGCATTTCTGTGCAGAATTGAGTAGTCTGTGTGCTGGTTTATCTGCTTTTAGCTGACCAGGATCATATATTTCTTGGTAACTACTACTATGAATGCCACCAGATGCTCATCCTTGAATCCATTGGTGCTCTCTCAGGCTCCTAGCTCTAACCAGACTTGTTTATGTGCTGTCTTCAGCAAGAAGCCTTGATTATTGCACAGATCGTGTGCTATAACCTGTCAGAGCACAACAGAAAACACCACACAGTAAAATAAATCTGAAATATTAATGTTTCTCTCCTTGTTGGCATCAATCATGGCTTTTCAGCCTTTGTTTCATGAATGGTTTTGCTGGGTTGGGTTTCTTGTTTCACATTTTTGGTACAAACATATGGAATGGCCACATGTATATCTTTCATAACTTAATCCATGCTCTCCCAGTTCTAGAAGTCCTCTCTTAAGTAGCCTTTCCTAATAAAGGCAGGCAGCTGAACCCATTTATTTTTCCTCTGCTTGGGAATATTTTCCTCATTAAAACCCTTCAAATTCTTTCCACTAGTCTTTCAGTAAGTCTTCTACTAACTTTGCCAACATCAGGATTGGGCCTTAAATTCCACCTGTCATAGGGATGGAAGTCTTGAATGAATGAACAGAGGACAGAAGTAACATGAATAAAGAATAATACGAATTGCTAAAGATTACCTACAATATCCAAACCCTGGGAATGTTGTGTCTTGACACCTCTGGCCCATGCTGCAAGAGCAGCGAGATACACAAGTAAGACTTTCCTCCCTAATCTTACCAGAATTGCTCAATATATATATATTTTTGGGGGGATTACTTGTTCCTGAACAGTTTATTTCATGTATTGGTCAGAAAAGGCATTTTTCTTGTACTGTCTTTCTCACCTATGAGATTTTTCTTTGGGGAAAAAAAAATAAAACCAAACCTAACACAGAAGCCATAGTTTTTCAGATTCTTTTTGAAAACAACATGCTCCATTTGTCCCTCTTACCTTGTTATATCAAAGTAGTAAATAGTGCTGGAGACAAAACACACCAGTCTAACAGATGCAGCAGAATAGAAGGGAGATGCAGCAAAGTAGAAAGGAATACTTCTCCAGGAGATTAAGTAAGGATATTGTTCTTGTTTAAAAAATAATAATAAAAAAAATCAGCCCAAACACTTGAACCTGAGTAAATGGCTGAAGGAGAACTTACTAATGATGGCTGTATTGTAAAGCATCTTCCTCCAGCAGAGTCGGTGGCAGATCAATAGGGCCATTTCTAAAGCTGCAGTCAGGCTAGATCCTAAGCAACTCAAACTGATGGTAGAACATATTTTCTTAGTGGGGCTGGAAGTCTGAGCAGACTCTTTCTGTAAGGTCTGGCTTTCATGCTTCTTCAAAGCCTGTACCCTGTAACTCTGGGTGCTCACATCAACAGCCTTTCTAAGAATTCACGCTCCTTCAGCACACAGACAAGCAAAATGGCTTTCTTCATTTGTCTTGCTGTTAATTTGATAGATCTCATTTAGGAGGCATTCAAGTGATGCATTCTCTGCTATTCTGAAAACCACATTAGCAGACAACACATCCTTGGCTTTCTACGTGCAAAACAGAGCACCTTGCAATGGGGCAATCAAAAAAACTGATAACATGAGACACAGCTCTGTGCACTCAGAATCTGAGAGGATTTTAAGTTCAGTTTGGGTAATGTATTGCCTCTTAGAATATTTATTGCAGGCTATGCACTTTTTTTTCCATCTGCTATGTGATACAGCTTCCCATGGTGAAAATGATCTGACATAGCATTTAATAAAGTCTCACAGCAAGCAATTCTATCCTTTAGTGGATAAAGGTAATATCCTGGAATATTGTTGGATATTATATCTGTCTGCCTGCCTATCTAGTCTACTCAACTAAGGGATCTGAGAAATGAGGGTTATCATTATGCTTAGAAAAGCAACAGCTTTATTTCCATCAGGAATTAAAGGAGTCTAAGAAGGATGCAGAAGAATACAAATACCAAGAGCTGCAAAAGCAGTTTGCCTGTTTTTAGCTCAGAATCCAAGGGGAAAGGCTATTTTCCTGCCTTTCCCATTGCAGGATCTCTGCAGGTAACTGGGAGACAGAGCCTCTACACTTCAAAGAACAGCCTGGGTTGGAAAGGACCACAAAGATCACCTGGTTCCAACCCCCCTGCTATATGCAGGGTCACCAACCACCAGACCAGGCTGTCCAGAGCCACATCCAGCCTGGTCTTCAATGCCTCCAGGGATGGGGCATCCACAGCCTCCTTGAGCAACCTGTTCCAGTGCCTCACCACCTTTCTGAGCTGTGACAGATGAAGACACAGTGAAGGTTTGCTGCTACTATAACCAGGGACACCATCCATACCAGAGCATCTCCAGGGGGTGATTTACTCACTGTTTCATCCCCTTTGCTGCCATGGATGAGACCATTTTATTTAATACCCAAAAGACTGAATTGTTGCTCAGATCTGGTACGGGTTAAGCTGTCACAGGATCTCACTAAGGAGAGATCACTTCTGAAGAATGAACATGTAAAAATCAGAGCAGAACTCTGAGATACTGTCACTGCAGGTTTGTGTTTGCAGCACTACAGCATTGTGCCATCACTTTCATTACAAACCCATATTTTCAGTGGTGCATGTCATGTCAGAAAAAGTTACTTTAAAGCAGAGATTCAGCAGTGCAGCCCTCTGCCTGTGAGGCTTATAAAGAAACAATCCCAAACAATGCTTTAAACTAAAAGATATTGATTTTAGCCGATTCATGACTCAAACAATAAATCTGAGCTTTTACCCAGCATCAGGAACCCTCACATCATGTGGTTTGGGTGCCCCTGCTGCTGAGGGAGGGGGCCGCTCTGGAACTGTGCTGCTGGTTTATTACACCAAGCAAACTGTTTGTTGATAATGAGCACAAGTTTGCTTCAACATTGCTTTGTCATCTCCTCCACTTGCCACAGCAGCACTTCCTCACTCCTAAGATAGGCGAATTCTTACAAGTTCACAAACATGCATGCAAATATGCATTTGAAGAGTAACCTGCAACTTTACCTATAAGCATATGTTGGCAAAGAGGAACATCACATATTCAAGCCGCTATATTAGCATATAGACTGTGAATGACATCACATGCACAGTTCTTGAATTATTAAACAATTTAAAGCAGTGCCTTTTCATTATCTGCTAAGGAGACAGCTGTAACCAAACGCATTCTGACCTGACATGCAGGTTAAGAGTACTAAAGCACGTGTTGTACATATCTAACAGGCCATCCTGAAGCACGTGCCATATCCTCCTCCCAGGACAGATTCTTTGCCCTTCTGGCAGCCCAGAAGCCTCTTTTGGCAGGAGTTTTTGCCTTCTGATTAGCCAGGAGGGCATGCTAGGTCATGACCAGCAAGATGGGGCTTTGAGCAACCTGGTTTAGAGGGAGGTATCTCTGCCTGTAGCAGGGGGTTGGAACTAGATGATATTAAAGGTCCTTCAAGCCGTTATATGGTTCTATGACCAGAAGAGCAGGGCATGGCTACAACACTGATATTTCAGGGAGTTTTGAGTGTTATAATGGCCTCCTTGAAACCGTAAATGAGGCCTTTAATTAGTCTTGCAGTAGGTCCTCCAGTGCTAGAAGCCAGAGTTACTCCTGCATCATAAATCACACATTCCTCTTTCACCTCCAACTTTCCCACTTAGCATCATTTCTGGCCATAGCTACTTCAAAACACAGACAGTGTGTGTCCCCCCACGTGTCACTTACATTGAGCACTTGAGCTCTCCTGGTTGACTCCATCAGAGTTGCTTCTAAACAGTGGTATGCATTGTCCACCTCTGCCACATCCCTCCAGAGCACGTCGTGGCTGTCACTGCAGCTCTGCAAGCAAAAGGCCGTGCTGGGAAGGTGCAGGCATCCTCTGGTCTGAGGGACAGAGCACACAAATCAGTCCTAAGCTCTGAAATGCCATCTGGAAGGGCAATTTATCTGAAGGGTGTCACTGACACTTGAATCTCTGCCCTGCCAACGTATGTTAGAGGCTTTCCTGAGGAAAAAGCCCACACTGTTGAAACTAATTGGATTGAATTTTTCGGTGCGCTCTCCAATAGAGATTGTTGTAATACCTTTTCCTTCTCCTGAGACAACATTGAAGAAGAGACAGATTATCAGATGCTAAAAGGTCTACTGAGAAAAAAAAACAAACAAACAAAGTATCAGTTTTCAGTCCTGTTTGATTTATCTCCACTAATTTGCAAGAAAGGTTAGAGTAAACAAATGCAAAATCCTCTGTGACTTCACAGAGACAGTATCAAGAAAAGGAAGAGGATTACATACAGAGAGGGAAATCTGTAATAGATGGAAATCCAAAATAGCAATGCTGCTACAAATACTGCAGGGGATGTTTTAAGACAACCTTAACTTCTCTGCATTTAGGCAGTTTCTGTGGATGCTGTTTTTCATTTGAAAGAGAAAAGGTCACTCCAGCATCCTCAGTAGGGCTGCAGGACACTGCTTGCGTCTCCATGCATGGAGGGCTCCTGGCTCTAGCCCCCTCATCTTTCAAGCCCGGAGGCAGAGAAAAAAGAAAGCATTGAAGAGAACTGAATTCTAGCAATTTAAAGTGTAAGGAGCAATGGCAATAATTAGGTTTTTTCTTTTTCCTTTTACTCAGGAGAAAACCACATTTTGTCAGGAAAATGCAAACATATTTTGGAGCTTTTTGTTGAAATCCTTGGGGGTTTCAACTCTCCAACAAAACGTGAACATTCTCTATGAAAATATCATCTCAAAGCTGCGTTGAAGAGTGGAAGATCCTCAGTGGTGAGGAAAGGGATCAGTCAGCAGCTCCTTTAATTTTTCTCTTTACAGCTACCAGATCATGAGATACTCATGAATGCAGAGGAAATTCTTACATGAATACTGCTAAAGCATTTTCCTTCCCAGAGCTTGCCAAGAAAGCACAGGTGTTCCTTGAGCCCCAAGTAATAACAGCACAGTGCTCCTGGGTCTGGATGACAGGTATTCATGACAAAAGGAAATAATCTTCCTGCGTGGGAGATAATTGCAGGCAATGTTTATTATGCCTGGAGTTGATAAAAATCAAATAGTGATTAAAGACATAGACAAAACTTCATCGCTTTGTTCTTTTCTGCCATATAATTAGATTTTGTAGCTAGACTCTCAACTACCAGGTGAAATTTAATATAATAAAAGTCAAAGGTGCTCTGGAATATTATGATATAAACGATATAACTGATCACTTCAGAGTCTCTTTCCTCACTTGCTCCTTCCACAAATCTTCAATTTTCTCGAGGAGCTGGTTTGCTTCTTTCCCCATTGTTCCTCTGAACCTTTATCAGAAGAGTATGTTAAAGGGGCAAATGTACTGTCTAGTAGACATGGAAATATTCTCTATGAATATGGGTTAAATTCACTTTTGCTATTATGGGATGGAAATCCCCTGAGACCAGCCAAGAGAAGCCTTCAGTAAGAGCTAACAGAATCACTCTTTGCATATAGCTCACAGCTGCCCAGTACTAATGTAAAATGTGTACTTTCCAGATTGGTCTATCACTGATTTGCTGATCTTGGACTCCTGCTTTGATTAGTCTCTCTCTCTGCACATGGTTTAATTAAGTTCTCCTTCACTATTAGCAACCCAGATGGAGCATGCTGACAGACATGAACATGGAAGGAAGTAGCCAACACTGGTTATTTCATTCTTGGAGGTAACAAAATATTTACTGCATTAGAAAAAGGAATAAAGAAGATGACAAGGCAGAGTTACAATTTGGCTGAAGCATTATGGCTTTTTAGAGTTTTATCCACATATTTTAAGCCAGGGGCAAAACAAAGGACACTGTCAACCTCCTCACACAGGTTGCAGTGGCCCCCACTTATCACGATGGAACCAAGTTGAACCAGCCCATAAACCACTGACAACAATCCATACAGCACTCAGCCACAGGGAACCCAGGAATTCCTCCTTTCAGGTATTAGGGGTCCTAGTGACCAACCAATGCATCATCTTTTTAAGATAACCCATCCTAATTAGTACACTGCTGTCATACCCACCTGGCTCACCAAGCATAAGATGGTGGAAAGCACAGCAATGACAGCAGAGCAGCAGGGTCCTAGTCTGCAGCAAGTGAGGATTTGCTCAAGTGCAACAGTCACCAGTGCAGAAATAAAGAAAAGAAGCTTCCTACCTTTAGAAAGCCTCAGGCATGCAGGGAACTCCAGTAAGACCCCTTGCTTCCCTTGCCAGCCCTTAAATGAGGATGGGAAGGGGTGGATCCTGGCTCCAGCCTTTCCAGTCACTCAGCTGCATTGCATGCACCTGAGCTGCCCTGGGTTGGTCCTGCCTTCCCACCAGGTGCTCAGTCACTGCTTCAAGCTGTGACTTTGCATTTCTGCTACAGCTTTCAAAAAACACAAATGCATTGAAAACATTTAAAATCTTCTCTCATCGTTATGCAGTTTTAAAGAGGTCTTTTAAGCAATCTAAGATATCAGTCAACAGCAGTATGTTGTATTCACTGTGCACATAAACGATATAAACTCAATGAAATGAAAAAAAAAGAAAAAGATGAAATTAAAGAAATTAGCCTAGTATGGATGCCATGTTTCTTAGCAGACACTAATCTTCCAATGAGATAAATCAGCGCTTGCTCTGTAGCTTTCTGATCCATGTATTTCAATCCTGTGTACATTTTGTAGCTTGCCCAAAGGGATTCCAGAAGCTGTTTGCCTGACTTTTCAGTGATTTCCCATCCAGCCTGCGTGGCTGTCAGCACCTTTATCACCCCACGTTTTCATTTTGCTTAACTTCATCATCAGTCCTATAGAGAGTTCTGACTTCACTGGTGCCCCTGTGAGCTCCTGTAGGTCAGCAGCACCTCCTGCCCCTGCAGTGCCCACACTGATCAGCTCAGTTGCTTGCCAGCTAGACTTGCATTTGTATTTTTTTCTGATTTGCACTTGTATTTTTGCTGGAGCATGCTCTGCTCCAGGACTGAGGAGATCCACTGCTCTTTAGATGCAGTAAAATGAATGCTCTGTTTGCTGGCAGCTTTAGAAAGCAACCGGTGACACCACAGCTGGGATATTATGGAGATAAGCTCCTGTTTGGTGTCAGTAAAAGATGACAGAATCAGCTCATACAGTTTATTGTGATCTTCAAAATTTGATACAAGAAGGCAAAATTGTTTTTCAAACAGAGGCCACTGCTCTGTCTGTCTTGATTGCAAAGATAAAATGCCAGCAGAGCTGTCACTGTGGTAATTTCATGCGAGCCCTACTTGTGGCTGGTGACCAAATGATTGGATTTAAAACAGCAATCAACCATCTTTAATATTAATGTATTTTGATTAATAGCTTTTGATTGCAAAGTATTGAAGCAGGTTTCCAGGTTCTACCCCACAGCCTTTAGGCTAATAGCATTTTACAGTGAAAAGGCTAAACTGATAGCAGGAGCATGTAGTACTGCTTTCCAAAGGACAGGCCTGGAAATAACTTAGCTATTTTAAAAAGGCTGCACATGGGCTTATTGGAAAGGTTGCCTAATTCCTTCATTACCATGGCGAGCCAGTTAAAGCATTAATTAACATTTTGAAATCCTCAAAGATAGTGGACCTGTAGAAAATCTTCCAGGAAAAAAAAAAGGGAGAAAAGCCTTATAAATACATTATCAATGTAACACAAATCCAAAGGGATCACAGACCCAAAATTACTGTTACAGGGAAATAACTTAAGCCTTTAACAGTCTGCTTCACCATGAGCCTTGTAGTCCCTTAAAGACCTATGAATGGAAAGTTGCATCCCCTGATTTGAAGTGACATTAATTTTTCAAAACAGGAAAATACTTAGGCAATGAAGTGGAGAATTTCAGGTGATGCACAATTGAGCTCTGAATTCCTGCTTCCATCACAGTGAGGGGAATGGAGAAAGTTTTGTAAAAAAAATCCATACAATCACGTACAAATATTTTTTTGAACCCAAGTTCTTCTGCCCAGCCTGAGGCACAGATCCAAATACTGTTCCCTAATAAAGCAGATGGGTCTGGTTAGATGATCCCTATAAGCATGCTAACCTCCTCCCATACAGAACCTGTTAGAAAGAGCAGGGATGGCAATCTGCTCGGCAGAACGACAAGATGTAAAAGTCATTTATTTCAGGTATCACTTCTAATAATGAATGTTTCCTGCAGACAAAGAAGTGAATAGATTTGAATAGCCAAGTAAAAATGAGACAATTAGAAGAAATGACAATACCAAGTTAATGGATAAACAGAAGTTTCTGAGAGTGGGTGCTCATGGATTACTTTGGATGTAGAAATAGGCACTGCCATCTATGTGTCGTTTTTAAAGCCTTCTGTTGCCAGCCTCTATTTTTGTCTTTGCTGAGTGAGAAGAGAAGGAGCTGGCCCAGTTTAAAACAAGAGGAAATTGAAATACTGCATGTTTAAAAAGAGCAAGTGTGACAAAAATGATTTCTGCTCTGACATTTTGAAGAACTATGGGGTAAAAAGAACCAATTCTGTCTAGAAAAGCACGGCTATGACAAATGCCACTTAGTTATCAGGACATGGGACCCATTTTCCCAATTTTCCAAAGGCAATTCTCAGTCACTTAGTGCATACAGCATCCTGGATCATATTTCAACAGTTTCCAGAGGCTGGAAATGCTCCTTTCCAGAAATATGTTCTGGGATTTGGGCTGGAGATACGAATTCAAAGTGATGAATGGTGAAAGAGCTGATGGATAGAAAAATGAATTCCCCTCTCTGATATTGTTCTAAATGTTGCAATACTGTAGATATATTCTTTTAATTCTATTTCCAAATATTTGAATCATTTGTTTGATGGAGTTTTTCAAAATATCTATAAAATTGTGTTAATTTTCTCATTTGTTACTCTTTC